TGATCCAGTCCAAAGACTTTGTTTTTAAGCTAAATGAGTCCCCAAACTGTAAGAGTGATAAGGAGATAGTAGGAACTGCAGATGCTGGAGAATCTGAGAACAAGGTGTAGAGCTGTGTTCTGAATGTAGACATTGTCACTCTGATGCTGCTTGGCCTGCTGTGTTCATCCAGCTCAACACCTTGTTATCTCTATGTAAGAGTGATAACATTCTTCTGGCTGACTTTTATACTTTTCATAAAAGAGCTCATCTCATCCTTTACGAGCCTATTGAGTATTACTTGGCCTCAACACTGGTCGAATCAAAATCCCGCGTATTCTCTCTCAGTTAGAGAGTCTCCTATTCACTAGTAGTGAGGAACTGAACAAAATTAAGAAACAAATTATTAACTTTTGAACTGCTACTTGCCTCGCTGCATTCTTCATCATTCAAACCCTTGTAATAAGGAGGAAGGGCATCATTGCTATATGATACTTCTACTTTTGAACCTTTCCATTGCTGCTCTACCCATTCTTCCACAATGTCCTGTTTGTGATTTTTCATTGTACTCATTTCTCATTTTCCCTACTTTGACTTGATTTCCTTTAGTCTTAATGATGAGTTAGCTGCAGTGAAGCACACACCACTTCTGTGACATCACAATGACAAAATGACAGGATTAGCCAGTTTCAACTTTCTTAGGCTAAAATAAAAACTTGCTTCATTTCTACAGACATGACTGCAGCCATCATAAATAGAAATAGTTGATGGTTTTCAGCCAGTATTTACGATAAAATTACTATTCCTAAATTCTTAAGAATCATCCTGATTCGAGTTTGGTGAGGATTCAAGATCAGACTGAATTACCTTAGAAGTTCCCCTGTTGCACTAATGCTATATTGAGAGAAAACTAATTTCTATAAAGCAAATAGGATTTCTTCTGAACTTCTGCTAGGTAACAGGAAATGTCTCAAGGAAATTTATCTCTGATGCTTCACTGAGCAGCTCAGGCTGACCTCATTTTGGCCTCAACTCCACTTTCCTACCTGCTCCCCAGAACCCTGGACTCCCCAGTAGTTAGAATTTCTGTCTATCTGCGCTTTGAACATTTCAATGACACAGCTTCTACAGCAGTTTGGAATAGAGAATAGAAAAAAAATTCATTGCTTAGACGAAATTTTTCATTTCCATTTTATATATACAACTCTATATTCTGAAACTATACTTTCCTATATCTGCATTTCCCCCCCAAAAGATTAATATCCTCTCAGCATCTGTCTGTCAAGACCCTTTAGAATCTTGTACATCTCAATAAAGGTCACCTCTAACTCTTTAAAACTCCAATTGATGTGGACCAACCAGCTCAATCTTTTCCCATAAGAAAACCCCAGGAGTCAATCCAGTGAACTTTCTCAAAACTGCTACTAGATTGTTCCATAAATAGCAGGACCAAAGCTGCATGTATCACTGTAAGTGTGGTCTCACCAATGCCCTGTACAGTGGACAAGATTTCCCTTTCTTTACATTCCATCCATCTTAAAGGCCAAAACTCCATTTGCCTTCCTAATTACCTGTCATACATACAAATTAACATGTGCTTCACTTTTCACTGTCTTTGATAAGTGCAGCTTTAACAACACACAAGAGCTTGACACCATCCAAAACAAAGCAGTCCCCTTAATTATCACCTCATCCATCACTTTCAACATTCACTCCCTTCATCAACAATGCAAAGTTACAGCAATGTGAACCTTTCACAAGATGCACTATAGCAACTGATCTAGTCTCCTTTTGATGGTACCTTCCAAACCAATGACATATACCACACAGATGGACCAGGACAGCAGATGCATGGGAACATAACTGCTTGTACATTCTTCTTCAAACCACACACCATCTAGACTTGGACATATATCATTTATCCTTCATTGCCGCTAAGACAAATTCCTGGAATTGTAGCTTTTCCATGGATTGCAGAAGTTGAAGCTGGCTATCATACTAATATACAAGTCCCAACAACATCTTGAGCAGTAACCTTACTGAACGCCGTTTACAAATTCAATAATACTACATTTGCTGTTTCTACTTCAGGCATCCTCCTTGTGACATCATTGAGGAACCCTGCTAAATTTGTCAAACACAATGTCACTCTCACAGAACCATGTTGACTCAACTTTATTATGACTTTCTAAAACTTACGCTGCTATTTCCTTTATCATATATAACTGCATTTTCCCAATGGCTAATAGTTTCCTACTTTGTTTTTCAATTTCCTTGAATAGGTTGATACATTTACATTCTTCCAATTCACTGGAACCTTTCCAGAACCTAGGGAATTTTGGAAGATTAGAACCAATGGACCATAGAACGAGATCCAGGAAACTGTAGTCTCATTACATTGCCTACCACTTTTCGTCTAATGATAGTAGCTTAATCAGTAAAATCAACATGTAACTGAAACAAGCAGCTTATAAGGTTATGATGAATGGTCGCAAATGCTGTCAGATCTCTTGACTACTTCCAGAATTTCTGTTTTTCAGATATCCAGCAACTGGAGTACTTTACTTTTTCATATGTTTCCACATTTGATTCCTCACCTGTCTTGAATTAACCTACCTCAACGAATAGAGGCATTAAAAATAGCTTCAATTCCCAGAATGGAGAAAGGATTGGAAAAATAAAAACAGCTATGGGCCCTGCTGTCGATGGCTATCACCAGTGATTCGTACTGGAAACAGTGGATGTATTGACAAGGACACTTTTCATTCTGGTCCAATTATCAAGCATATACTAAGCTTACTTATAAACTAGGGATTCATAGAATCATCATAGAATCCCTCCAGTGTGGAAACAGGCCATCGGTCCAACAGGTCCGCAATGACCGTCTGAACAGCATCTCACCCAGACCCATCCCCCTACCTATCCCTGTAACCCTACTTATCCCATGGCTAACCCACCTAGCCTGAACACTATGGGCAATTTAGCATGACCAATCCACCTAACTTGCATATCTTTGGACTGTGGGAAGAAACCAGGGCATCCGACAGAAACCCATGCAGATACAAGGAGAACGTGCAAACTCCACACAGAAAGTTGCCCGAGGGTGGAATCAAACCCGGGACCCTGGCACTGTGAGGCAGTAGTGCTATCCACTGAGCCACAGTGCCGGATTCATGAGTGAGGAACTTGCATTTGAATAAGCATGTGGAGGGTGCCCAGAGATTACAGATTAACATTGGTCAGCCACCTTTTCTCGTACTTCAAACGCAAGAGCTGTGACATTTTTCATTTGCTGAGTTCAGCACACGTTTTAAAAAAAAATACAGCAGACCACTTCTAACAGTTTACGGGGACAAAGAGTTTCTATACTGACTTAAATTTCTATCGTTTTTTTGCAAAGGTGCAATTACACACACACACACACACACACACACACACACACACACACAACAAGCTTCGCTAATATTACTGGATCCTGAGGCTGTAGACTTGCTCGCTGAGCTGGCGTGTTTGATTACAGACGTTTCGTCACCCTGCTAGGTAACATCATCAGTGCACCTCCGGTGAAGCATTGGTGTTCTGTTCCACTTGTTATTTATATACCTTGGTTTGCTAGGGTGGTTGGCATTACTTCAGCTTCTGTTTTTTAGTGGTTTGTATACCAGGTCCAGTTCATGTGTTTGTTGATGGAGTTCTGGTTGAAATGCCAGGCCTCCAGGAATTCAGCCGAACAGAGTCATGCTGGGGAATTCCTGGAGGCCTGGCATTTCAACCAGAACTCCATCAACAAACACATGAACTGGATCTGATATACAAACCACTAAAAAACAGAAGCTAAAGTAATGCCAAACATCACAGCAAACCGAGGCGTTTGATATAAATAACAATCGGAACAGAACACCAACGCTTCACCGGAGGTGCACTGATGACATTACATAGCAGAGTGATGCAATGTCTGCAAGCAAACACACCGGCTCGGCCAGCAAGTCTACAAACTCATCCACAACCCAAGCTACAAATCTTCTCAATGAAAGAAAAAAAACTTTAAATTACTGGATCCTTTCTACTGCAAATAAAATTAATCTTGCAATAGCTTTATTGGATCTGGACCGGTTCATAAATTAAGTATTACTTTTATGTGTTAAATTAGACAAAGTTGTTCACTCCATAAATTGCTGTTATGAATACAAAGTTTTGTGAGATTGTTGTGATTTTAATTGTCTCTTTCAATTTAAGGTAGAACTGAGTAAATTGCCTCCTATTAATTCTGGCTGGTAAGCCAATGCAACCCAGTGGCCATAGGACAAGGGATCCAGATCAAGTTCTAGTTAAATCCATGCAGCAGTTTTAATACTTAAACACAAAGCGAGAAGCAGTTGACCTGGCTTTATGCAGACTTAGTGATTCTCAGTAGTTAAGACTCAGAAATCCTACAGATGGGGAGAGACAGTGAAGACACAGGAATACTACAGCTATGAATAGATTCTCTGTTTGAAGAGAACGATTTTCTAGAGATTGAAAAGCCAAAAGGTCCCTTGCTGCTGCAATTCCAAGAAGCTATGCTCAGGAAGACTGAGTAAAGGAATTTTTGAAGACCTTCAGAAAACTTGCCTCAGAGTAACAGAGAGAAGACCGCTTACTAACCACCAGGAGGGATTAGGAATTTAAAAACAAAATTACATTTCTCCTGAGATTGTGATGTATAAATATAGCATGGGGTTATCAGTCATATTAGGAAACTAATAAGGAATACCTGCACTCTAGTTTATTGTAACACTAGCTGTTGTCTCAGTAATATTTAGTTGATGTTATTTTAGTTTGATACAGTGAGAGTTTAAAATATGAAATCTCATCATGCAATTCCTTAAATTTGTCACTGGCAATTAAGATCTCTTTTAGCAAATGACAATCTTTATGTAGATCATAATACTGACCCAAATTATGAAATTTATGTCACTATGTTGATTCTTTCAAAAGGAACACTACTGATACTGAGATAGCTAATGAAAATCAGAATTTACCTGCTCTTTAAGAATACGTTCGAGCATTGTAGGTAGAGAGTTCTCTCCTCCTGTAGACTGATGTTGCATGTGTGAACGTAATTCAGCCAAGAAAGACTTTTGTTCTTGGGTTAAAACTGCCTGCACAGCCAGTAGTAACTCCCTTCTCCAATCAGTCCTCCTACTTGCAGCATCCTGTTTCGGTAAAAGGAATGAGGGAAGGAATCAAGACTTCTGAAAACCAAATAAACTATAATTCAGCTTCAAAATTATTATTCAGACGATTATGATTTTGGTAAAATTTTCACGGAATCACAAAAGGAGGACATCCGTCCCACTGTACGTGCAACGGTTCAATGACCTATTGGCAATCTCCTGCCTTTTCCCCATATCCCTGCACATCATTTTTCTCCAAACAATGTCCTCTTGAATGCCTGAAATGAACCTGCATCCACTAGAAGTCCAGGTAGTGCATTCCATACCGTTACTACATGCAGTGTGAAAATGATTTTCTTTCCTCATATCACCCTTTGCTTTGTTTGCAAATCACTTTAAATCTATGTCCTTTTGTTTAATGAACGGGAACAGCTTTTCCTGACCTACTCTATCCAGCCTGCTCATGATTTTGAAAACCTCTATCCAATCTCCTCTCAGCCTTTTCCTTTACAAGAACAGTCCAATTTCCTCAATCTATCCTCATAACTGAAGAGTCTCATTCCTGGAACTATTCTTGTTAATTGCTTCTGCACTCTCTGCAATATATTCACATTTTTCCTATAATGTGGCACCCACAGCTGTACATAATACTCCACCTGAAGGCTAACAAGTGTCTTTCTACAAGTTCAACATTACCTCCTTGCTCTTGTACTTTTTGCCTCTATGAACAAAGCTGAGAAGACTGTATGCTTTATTAACCGTTCTCTCCACCTGTTGTGTCACCTTCAATGATATGTACATAAATACAGGTCTCTGCTCCAGCACCCCTAAAGATTCAAACACCCAATTTAATTCACATTGTGGCATTCTTTCCATGTTGGTTCAATGTAGCACTCAGCCTTGAGTCAAAATGTTTAAATCCCACTTCAGTGACACATGCACAAATCTCTCTGCTGACAACGCAGTACACTGCTGAAGAAGTGTTTCTAAGTCAGAGATGTCAGCTTTCAGATGAAAAGTTAAATCAAAGCCTCGTCTTTGCTCTCAGGCAGGCATAAATGAGCCCATGACACTATTTGAAACAGTACAGGGCAATAAGCCCTTGTGGCCAAGTCAATATGTATCCTTCAATCAATATTATAAAAGTAAACTATTTGTTTATCATCAAATTGCTGACAGAGTTTTAGTTATGTAAATTGGCTGCATATCTTCTTCATTACTACCATGTTTACATCTCAAGTATTTCACCGGCTATAAATTGAATGAAGGTATTCTGAGATATTGAACGAGGCTAGATAAAATGGTAGCTTTCTCCATTTTAATTGCTGTGTCGAACTTGGGAAGTAGCCAATAATGGACTAAAATTAAATATAATTATAGGACAGCAAAAATGATATCTGTAGTTACGGACAGGTAAAAATAGTTTGATGCTCCTTCATTCCAACACACATATTGCAGGAACAAAAACAAAGTTGCTGGAAAAGCTCAGCAGGTCTGCCAGCATCTGTGAAGGAGAAAACCGAGTTAACGTTTCGGGTCCGGCGACCCTTCCTCAGAACACACATTGCAGTACAGCATAACAAAACCTTAAGATGATCTGAACATCACTGATCCATTTCACTCCTCCCTTGCCACTATCCAGGGCTCCAAACACTTCAATTAGATTACACAGTGACTTATTTGTGCCACTTTTTAATTTAGTACATATCAGTTGCCATCAATAATGTAATCATTTCCACATTAGGGCAATAAAACAGACTTGGTGACTGTGTCCAGAACACTTTTCTCAGGGGCTTAGTGCATGAGATTCAGGTTTCCACTGCTGGAAAAAGAATGCAGAATAAAATCACAAGAATTTCCTGGCATCAATTGAGGTACTGTAAATGACAAGGGCAAAACTTGTTTCGACAATGCTACAAAATCTTCCTCGCTAACATCCAAAGATTTGCACCAAAAGTGGGGTAGTTGTTGCACAGTTGAGTCAAGGAACAGGCTTACATAATCCTACTCGTCATCATACTTTTCAGCAAACGTCAGATTCTTCCATCAATCATTGGTAAACAGGCCTATTAGAGGTGGTGGTACTTTCAGACTAGAGAGACCCCTAGAGTTCTCAGCATTATGACTCTAAGAATCACAGAGTCATAGAGGTTTACAGCATGGAAACAGGCCCTTCAGCCCAACATCCATGCTGCCCAGTTTTCACAAATAAACTCGTCTCATTTGTCTGCATTTGGCCCATATCCCTCCATATCTATCCCATCCACGTACCTGTCCAAATGTTTCTTAAATAATAAAATCGTACTTGCCTCCACCACTACCTCTGGCAGCCCGTTCCAGACACTCACCACCCTTTGTGTGAAAAAATTTTCCCTCCGGACCCTTAACCGTAATCTCTGCTCAGGTCAAACATGGGCAGGAAAATCCCTGCCGATAATCAATTACTGCATCCTTCAGTTGTTAAATCAGTACTCCTCCATGTTAAACAGAACTTGGAAGAAGCAGTGAAGGTAGCAAGGGCACAGAATGTACTCTGGATGAGTTTTCAATGCACATCAACAATAGTGACTTGATTGGGCCCGTGGCAGACAACAAGAGAAGCAACAGCAAAAAACTTGTTTTATGTCTCTGTCACTAATCTATCTGTTGCTCAAGCGTGACAGTATTGCCAAGAGTAACCACCTCACAGCTCCTGTGGGGACATAGTCCCATCTTCACACTAAGGATACCCTCCATCATGCTGAATGGGATAAGTTCAAAACAGATGTAGCAACTTCAATAAAAGGAAAATACTGCAAATTCTGAAGATCTGAAATGTAAACAGAAACTGTTGAGAAGGGCACCCACCCAATGTTTCCAGCATCATTGATGCTGTTCATCAGATAACGTAATTCATGCATATTATACCAAGAGATGGCTGAAGGCACTGAATACTGCAAAGCTCTGACAACACTTCAGCAGACTTGCATTCCAGGCCTAGCTGCGTCCCTATCCAAGGTGTTTGTACATTTACAATAATGGCATCTAATGAACAATGTGGAAAGTGGCACACATGCACTGTCCACAAAAGGAGAAAAATCCAATCCAGCCAAATGTTGGCTCAAATGTCTATACTGAATCATTAAAATACTCTCAAAGCGATGGTGGTGTCATCAACAGCATCAAGCAGCACTTACTCATAAATAACCAGCTTATTTATGCCCAATTTGCGTTCAGTCAGGATCAAGCAGTTCAGTACATCATAACAGATTTGGTCTAAACATGTTAAAAAACTGAAATCCAGAGGTGAGGTAAGAATCTGCGCCCTTATATTAAGGCAGCATTTGACAAAATATGGCATCAAGCAAAAGTTGAATTCAAAAGGAACCAGGGAAAACTCTTTACCAGTTGGACTCATATCAAACACAGAACGTTTGTAACTGTTGGAGGTCAATCGTCCCAGCAAGAGTTCTTTGAGGATGTGACAAAACACATTGATGAAGGCAGACCAGTGGATGTGGTGGAAATGGATTTTAGCAAGGCATTTGATAAGGTTCCCCATGGTAGGCTCATTCAGAAAGTAAGTAGGCATGGAATTCAGGGCTGTCTAGATACAAAACTGGCTGTCCAATAGAAGACAGAGGGTGGTAGTAGATGGAAAGTATTCAGCAGAACTCGGTGACCAGTGGCGTTCCGCAGGGATCTGTTCTGGGTCCTCTGCTCTTTCTGATCTTTATAAAGGACTTGGATGAGGAAGTGGAAGGTTGGGTTAGTAAGTTTGCTGATGACACGAAGGTTGGTGGAGTTGTGGATAGTGTGGGGGGCTCTTGTAGGTTGCAACGGGATGTTGACAGGATGCAGAGCTGGGCAAAGAAGTGGCAGATGGAATTCAACCCAGACAAGTGTGAAGTGATTCATTTTGGAAGGTCGAATTTGAATGCAGAATACAGGGTCAATGGCAGGATTCTTGGCAGCGTGGAGGAACAGAGGGATTTTGGGGTCCACATCCATAGATCCCTCAAAGTTGCTACCCAAGTTGATAGGATTGTTAAAAAGGCATGTGGTGTGTTGGCTTTCATTGGCAGGGGAATTGAGTTTAAGAGCCGTGAGGTTATGCTGCAGCTCTATAAATCCCTGGTTAAACCACACTTGGAATATTGTGTTCAGTTCTGGTCACCTCATTATAGGAAGGATGTGGAAGCTTTAGAGAGGGTGCAGAGGAGATTTACCAGGATGCTGCCTGGACTGGAGAGCAGGTCTTATGAGGAAAGGCTGAGGGAGCTAGGGGTTTTTTCATTGGAGCGAAGAAGGATGAGAGGTGACTTGATAGAGGTGTACAAGATGATGAGAGGCATAGATAGAGTGGATAGCCAGAGACTTTTTCCCAGGGCGGAAATGACTATTACAAGGGGGCATAATTTTAAGGTGAGTGGAGGAAGGTATAAGGGAATTGTCAGAGGTGGGTTCTTTACACAGAGAGTGGTGGGCATGTGGAATGTGCTGCCGGCAGTGGTAGTGGAATCAGATACATTAGAGACATTTAAGCGACTCTTGGATAGGCACATGGATGATAGTATAATGTCGGGTATGCAGGGTAGTTTGATCTTAGTAGGATAATAGGTCTGCACAACATTGTGGGCTGAAGGGCCTGTACCGTGCTGTACTGTTCTATGTTCTACGTTTTAAGAGTTCCTTAAGAAACTGATCCGATCTCTACCACCATCTGCTGCTTCAATGACATTAACCTATATTCTATCTTTAGGTCAGGAGTGTCGATGTTTACTGATGACTGTACCAAGCTTAGTACCATTCATAACTGTTCACATACTGCATGTAGCAAGGCCTGGGCCACGTAACACCTGTTTCGATAAATGGCAAGGAACATTTGTGTCATACAAGCGCCATGCAATGACCATCTCCACGAAGATATACATGCGCCATGCAATGACCATCTCCATGAAGATAGAATCTAACTATATCTACTAGATAGTCAATAGTATCACCATTACTACATGCACCATTAACATCTGTTGGATTAAAATTTTGCAACTCCTTTCCTAACAGCACCAAGGAGCCACAGACTACGCAATTCAAGGAGGTCATGCAGGGTAATAGAGAACAGAAAACAAACTCAGGCATTACCAACAACACCCACATCAGAGGAATGCATAAAAAGAAACCTACACCCCCAAAACATGTACCATTTGTTTCTTGTCTCATTAGTTTGCATATTGTTGTCCAACATCATCCAATTCGACTTCTAATGACTCTTGTCTCCTTCTACCATATCACTAATCATTCAATTGAATAACAGAATAATAAATTCGAGTTTTTCCAATTCATTCGTACACATTATTTAAATAGCAGGGTCAGCTATCATTGGAGAAAACAGAGAAAGGATAAGTGATGGAGGCATCGTTCCGAAAGTGGGAGTGACTGTAGTATAATGTGTAAGTAATGCACTCATTTGAAAAGTCTATAGTGAGCAACCATTTACAACAAATCAATACCTCCAAAATAGATTAATCCATAGAAACACTCTTGAGCTGGTGAGAACAGAGGTTATGAATATGAAAAGATGGGATGTCTGTATATTTATGCATGTCATGGTGCAACAAAATGAAGTATGCATAATTTTTGTGAAAAAGACACGGCCATCACGGGAATGGAAAAACAAAGCTGCGAGTGGACTCAAGCAGAATGGAAAATTCAAGTACGTGAATCGAAGTGAAGAAAAATCATTGCAGAGTGGCATCATGGTATGAGGAGGGGGAAGCGAGGGTGGTACCAGGGAAGATATGGAGGTTTAATTCTCCAGGCAAAGATTTAATTTAATCAACTAACAACTTAAACCAGATCATTGATAAGCTTACAAGTAAAAATGATCTAGCTTACATAGTTTCATTTATCACATTTTGTAAAATATGTAATCTGACATAAAATCACATTGTAGTTAATTTATTAAATCTAGGATTATATAGTTAAAATAACTAAAGATTGCAAACTTTTGTTACAGTCAAGAATTAACTTTAGTAAATGACAAAATAAAGCAATTATTAAAAGAAAAAGCAGAGGTAGCTCAGCTGTAATTTTTAATTCTGAGACTGATAATAGCTTATGCTAAGTTTAGCAAAAATCTCAATGATATCAGGCAAAGGTGAGAGTTACATGGAGTTAGGATGTAGATCAGTTGCAATCACATTGGTGGGACAGGTTTAATAACCTATTCCTGTTCTGATGTAAGCATGTATTTGACATGGCCTTTCTAATACAATCTTTATTTATACACAATATGTTGAACAAGCAAGACAAATCTATGGAGGGCACTTAAACGCTAACATTCTAATGGTTCAACACGCAATGCCACTCTATCAATGTTACACAGTTGTAATATTTGTGGACCACACCTTTTAATAAGTTGTAAAATAATGTATATGTGATGAGGAGGAGAGGTGGAGATGTGCTGCACATCTCAGTTGTATAAGATATCGACACACCCGTACACAATAGCTTTGAAATCTTACCTCATTACACTTGTCTGTTGCTTTGGAAAGCAGTTCCTTTAGTAGCTGAATTGTGTCAAGTAGTGACTTTTTCTCTTGTTGCCATTCTTCCACTGTTTTGCTCAAGACAGAGACAGGTTCAGATTCAGGGCAGACAATAGGCCTTTGTGACAATGCTAACACCCGACAGCCTTCCTCATGTACCCTCTTTAGCAATGCCTGATGGAGAAAGACATGAGACATCAACCTCAACCACTACATCATGAACAACAATAAACATTGGAAGCAGACTGGAAATGCCACATTGTGTGTCATAGTAAATTATGAGATTAAACTATTATTTAAAAATAACTCCTATAAAAGAAGGCACAGTAAGCTGAAATGATAAAATCCTGAAAGACAATACAGATCAAGATTACACTAAGCCTGGGAGAAAAGACCTGAAACTTCTAGTGAGAAGAATTTCTATTACTGGGAAAATGCATTTTTGATTAATGTAAAAACTGGCATAGTATTTTATGAGATAGTAGGAACTGCAGATGCTGGAGAATCCGAGACAACAAGGTGCAGGGCTGGATGAACACAGCAGGCCAAGCAGCATCATAGGAGCAGAGAGGCTCCTATG